ATCATTCTACCCTTTTGGGAGTTTTATTAATTTATTGGTTCTCGTAACATAGCAAAGATATGTAAGTTTCTTCAGTTCATTATATTTTTATTAAAAGTCCCTTGATCAAGGATGCACTTGACTTCTCTTTCTTATTTTGTAATGAAATTTGTGGAGTAGTATGTCTATTATACTATTATAATATATAACATCAAAAATAGCATATGACTTGGCTGTAGTTGCAATAGCACTTCATGGCTTCCTATTTTTCTCTGGATTTCTATTAATGTTTTTTGTCAAGTTGAACAGGGGTGCTAGAAGTAAACATTTTTTCCATTCTAAATATCCATGCTCCTTAGTTTTGTTGGTGTTGGATTCTATTAAGGAATCAGGAACATTTCTCATCCAATGCCTAGTTTTTTATTTCAGTTGGAAATGTTGTCTCCTTACGATAATGCTTTTAAGTATTATGCGACTTCCTAACTTGCTAGTATGACTTTACCAACCTTTTTTCGAGTAAACTCACTAGTCAGGGATCTTAAAAGCATGTTGTAAGATTGTAATCATTAGAAGTTTCAGTAGCCTTAATTGCATTGATGAATGCTAGACTTCAACCTCTTCCTTTTCCTTGATTATGGGTGAATTGATAAGGTTTTACATTTGGATTAATAAGGTATTGGATGCGACGGACGATGAACCTTGGGGCCCTCATGGTACTGCAATGGCTGAGATAGCACAGGCTACAAAGAAATTGTATGTCTTAGCCACTCTACTTGCATGCTTGCATTTGAAATCCTTTCATGTTAAGTAAGGTTATGAAATTATCCCTTATGTGGTTGATGTGTTGAGATATTGTGCAGTTCTGAATGTTCAATTGTTATGAATGTTCTTTGGACAAGATTGAAAGAGACTGACAAGAACTGGCGTTATGTCTACAAGGTAGGGAATAATTGAAAACTTTCAACAGTACGAGGTTATTGTATTTCAACTTCCAATTGTAACTTTTTTGTTGTCTTTTTCTTTTTATGTTCCCACTAAGTAACTCTTTCCACAATTTTGTTCTACTTTGGGAAATGTAATTTTGAAATTTTAAAACATTTGTATCAGGCATTGGTTGTTCTAGAGTATTTGGTGGCACATGGATCAGAACGTTCCGTGGATGAGATCGTAGAACATACTTATCAGATTTCGGTTTGTATTTTATTTTATCAAAACTCTTTTCACTTATAAATTTAATATTAAAACTTAATGCTTAATTCTGTCATGCATAAACAAATTGGTTTCTCCTCGAGACTTAACTGTTTCACTGATTAGGTTATTGTATGCATTTTACTTTATTTTTTAAGAATCTTTCCCAACTCTGAGGATCCGTACAGACATTTAATCAAACTTAAAATCGAATTTTGGGCATACCAAAGTAATTGTTGGCTTTTAATATGTGATCAAGCTTAAAACAAAATTCTTGAGTATTGTTTATCAAAGCAAATTAGTGTTCTGCTTCAAATTTGGACCCTGAACTTCTCCTTTTGTTCGTTTATTTTGCCTAGTCTCTTACAAAATTTGAGTATGTCGAACCAAGTGGAAAGGATATGGGAATTAACGTAAGGAAGAAGGCAGAAAACATTGTGTCACTTTTAAATGACAAGGACAAGATACATGAAGTTAGGAACAAGGCTTCTGCAAATCGTGAAAAGTAAGTGCATGCTCTGAAGTTTGGATATGATTGATGCAAAAATTCTAAATCTTCTTCTAAGATGCATTTTGTTGAACTATACTATTGTTCTCTAGGTATTTTGGACTATCATCTACGGGAGTAACATACAAGTCAGGGTCTGCCTCTCTTAGTAGTGGCAGTCGATATGGAGGTTTTGGCAATAATGCTGATAGTGACTCATTTGCTTACAAGGAAAGAGATCGATATGGTGAAGATAAGTTTGATCAAAATACCACTTACAAATCTCGAAGGGAGATTTCTGAGAAAGATGGCAGCTTAAATAAGGGGGCCTCTCCTTATGTAAGGTCTGCTTGCTTAACCCTCAATAGTGAAAAACAAATCACACTATGTAGGTGCATTAACTCATAGCTCAAATCTGCACATCTTTTTGTTGATGCTTATAATGCATCCACCTTCTCAGCATATATGTAATTAATAAGAGAGAAAAATAATGGTCTATGGTGACTGAACAGCTTATAGTCAATTTTAAGCACAACTAAAATTATTAAAAACCTGTAAAATTGACACATGGTGAATCTCATTTCATTATCATTTTTAAAGAAACTCTTGGCCAAGCTGCTATACACGACTTGCATTTTGCATTGTGTTCTTCTCACCATAGAGAAAAATAATGGTCTATGGTGACTGAACAAGTGCATGTCTGTCTTTTTTTCTCAATTTTATTATTGATGCACATGATAGAAATCTACCCCACTTAGATTTCAGTCTTGAATTTTTTATGGAACAAATACTCCTGATTTGCTTCGTTGCTGAATCAGGTGTATAAGATATAGTTCAGCAATTCAAAGATTAGATTAAATGATTAATAATAGGATCATCTTCATGATTGGTCCCCTCCCCCCACCCAAAAAATCACTTGCTTCTAATCTATATAACATAATTTCACACAGTAAGAGCCAAGGTGGTGTTTCTGCTGGTGGATCAAAGATGACAAACAAGAGCTACTCTGATAAAAATGCTTCAAAACCCTCAGTAAACTCAAGTACACCAAGTAGCAATTATGACGATGATTTTGATGATTTTGATCCTCGTGGGACTTCAACTGCTAGTAAGTGTCTTTATGGATGCTTTTTGTGTGTATTTATTTCTTTGTTTTTATTGGTGACAAGATGCGTGTACTATATGAAATACATACATTGATCCCTCTAGAATTTCAACTGCTTGTGTAATTTATGCTGCTTTGTTTGTTTATTTAATTCTGCTTGGGACTTCAACTGCTAGTAAGTGTCTTTTTTTTTTTTTTTTTTTTTAATTGTATATTGTCATGCCACTTAAACAGTTTTGGGAATTCCACACTCAAATGTGTATACTGTTTCTGTCTGCCATTAGGAAGAAGCAATCTCAACCAAAAGTTTGTTAATGATGGACAGTCTTAAGAGTCCCACATTGATAAATTAAGAGAGAACGTATAGGTTTATAAGGTCATGGGTTAGACTAGTTAATTGATTGGATTTAGTCTTTTAGTGAGGGTTGGCCCATGTGCATTATAACAAACAGAAAGTAATCTTTACTGAAAATTTTGAAACTTTATTAGTTGGAACTTTAGGAGTCAGATTAGTTTTTTGGAGATGCCCTACTTAAACAGGCGCGGTTATCACTAGAATCTGGACTATCAGTCAGGGTACCAGCAAACATTTTGGTGGTTACTGGTTGAAATTTATGCTGGCCTTTTAATCTTATTGGACAGAGCCTTCTGTTGGAAGTTCTAACCAAGTAGATCTTTTTGGGGAAAGTTTGGTTGGTGACCTCTTGGATGCACCAGTGTCTGCTCCAACTGACAATCCCAGTGTTCGCTCGGAAGTTGATTTATTTGCTGATGCAGATTTTGTATCTGCTACCCCCCAGTCTAAAATGGGGGGAAGCTCTCAGTCTCAGGTGAGTATCACATCCTCTTTATATTCCTTGTAATCAATTTCTTTTGTCTCAATTAGTTACAGGACATTCATCTAGCTAACTTTGCAGACGAGTGTTGATCTGTTCGCCCAACCTGAAGTAGGGGGAAGCTCTCAACCTCAGGTGGTGACTATTCCACCATAATAAGTCCTTATAATAATTAATTTCTTTTGTCTAGATGGTGTATATATATTTAACATGTACTCTATTTGCAGACTGGTATTGATCTGTTCTCACAACCTGCACCTTTGCCTGCCCCTCCTTCAGCAATGCCCATGCCTCAGTCATCATCCATTGATTTTTTTTCAGTACCTGATCCAGCTGTGAAATCTTCAAAACAAGAGCCCATGAATACTAATATAGTTGATCCCTTTGCTGCAGTTCCATTAAATACATTTGATAGTTCTGACCCATTTGGCTCATTTGTTTCCCAAACTGATCCTCCTGTATCTGCAACGCCCAATGAGACTGCTACCAGTGGTCTAAATCAAGGAAACTTAAACAATTCTTCGGTAGAATCCAAACCCCCACCCAAGAAGGATGCTTTTCAGGTCAAGTCTGGAATATGGGCTGATTCTTTAAGCCGTGGACTGATTGATCTTAACATAAGTGCACGTAAGTTTTATCTTCTTTGCTGACATAGATCGTTTGAACTAGATTTTGTTGACCATCTCACTCAGGATTCTTCTTTTTGTCGGTGAAAATTGCAGAATGTCTTTCCTCATTTTATAGAATTATCTTTTTTGTATTTGCAGCGAAGAAAGTGAACCTGTCAGATGTTGGCATTGTTGGTGGATTGACTGACGGATTTGAGGAGAAAGACAAGGGACCTACGGTGCAGACGACGTTTTACATGGGGAGAGCGATGGGTCAGGGGTCTGGGCTAGGAAAAACCGGGTTTACTTCAAATTCCAAAGATGACATCTTCTCAAGCTTTAGCAGCGGTCAACAATATGGTGGCTTCTCAAAATGATTTCCATAAATCTGGCATTTCAAATTATGATGATATCCATCCAATTTTCATATATTCTTTCTTTTTGTGAATTTCACAAAGAGATCAAATGTTTATTTGTGTGTGCGATCTCTTCTTTTTGCGATTGTTTAAAAGTGTGCATTGGTAATGCAGTTTTCAGAAACAGGATCAGTAGTTTGAATTTCTCATTTTTATGTGCTGCCTGCTCATTTGAAACAGATTTATATGCCCTTCAAAATAGGACCAAGGAATTGTAAAGAAAAAACAGTGAAGCCCCTTTTGAGTGTGATACAAGTTGCAGTGAATAAAAGGAAACAAGAGAGTATATCCATACCCATACCCATACCCCCCTCCCTAGTAGTAAAATTGGTCACAGGATTTGCACAACAGATACAGAATATACTCACTAACCAACCTCACAAGTCAAAATGGCTATTCCCCCCTCTAAAAGGTTAAATAACAGTACGTTATTTATATGTACGGAGGGATGATGGATAATAAATAGGCTTCGTTCGACCCAATGATTTTTGTTTTTGTTTGTTTGGTTCAAACTTGAAAGCGGGGTATTGTATAATGTATGTGATACAGAGAGAATATGATAGGTGGTGTAGTAGTTCACAAATCCAGCATCCTTCCCCTTATCATGGCTTCTGCTTTCCGAACTTGCTTTACTGGTCCCATGATGAAAACCTGCACACCAACAAAAATAAACTAAATCATGGATCATAACTTGAAAACTCACTTAGGAATAACTATTTCTATATATATATATATATATATATATATAAGCATATTCAGTTGACTAACCTTGTCGGGGGGACCCTTGTCACCTCCAATGTGTATTTCAGCACTGTATGCAGCAGCAAATGTACAATAATAGTCAAGTAAACACCAAATATTGTTTACCCCAACATTAAAGTAGAGTAGAAACTCGTTCATTTAACTTCTCAACCATGGAAGTTACATTAAAACCTTAAAATTTAAGCATTTGTATTGTTCACAAACCAACACTATGAAGTCTCAATTGAATTGCAATTTACAATTAACAACCAAAAGACACATCTTTTTTCCCAAAGGGAAATGGATTGATAATAAATTTCATTTAAGTTCAAACCTTGTCTACAACAACTTAAATGCTTTAATAATTATAATAAATATAATTTGTAAGACCTTTATCACTTTATGTTCATTGAGGATAACTCAACTAGCTCATGTCAAAGATTGAGCCCCTTGTGACCTTATCACACCCCATAATAAATGCTTAAGATCCAAGAGCTTGGTACATGATCAGGTCAGTAAAAGTTTTCAAAGTTTTAAATTTGGAGAAAAAGTAAATCCAGAAATAAAATTAATTATTATTACTTTTTTTTTTTGAAAGATTTATTATTACTATGTATTAAATATTTTCAAGAAAAGGGGAGTTCCTCATTTTTTACCCCAGCTTGTGTTTGTTTAGAGCAGGAAAGTAAGCAATTTGAATTTTCTCTTTACATTGAAAAATGTGGCACATATGGAGTACATACTTGCATGATTCCTTTATTGCGAGAATAGAAGATCCTCTTCTTCCAATGACACGCCCCATTTTACCCCGGGGAACATCAAGAACAGACAAAGTCTCTTCCTCGGAAATGGACCCATCAGCGACAAGATTTTCTGCAATCAGGAAAGCTGTTGACTTTTGGGACTCCATGAAGATACAAAATTATATATATATATATGTGTGTGTGTGTGTGTGTTGGCTATCTCTTCAGTCAGTGTACTAGGAGAAGAAAATATAATCAAATGTGTGGAGTGATAAGGCAGAAGTTAATCACTTTAGATCAACCATGGAGCTGACTCTGTGAAGCACAAATTGTTTTATTAATAACTTTCATGATTATAACAAAATCAATCAGTAATTAAGGATTTTTTTTTTTTAAAATTGTTATTAAGCAAATATAATAGCTGAAAGCAAGTATTTAAGAAGAATTTGTATTTCTTTTTTTATTTCCCCTTCTTTTTTTTTTGGGTGATGAGGGAAACCCGCAGCCACTACCAGAACGTGTGCACTGGGCAAACCTCGCCTTGTGACCCTACAAGGAGGCAAACTAGCCTAGGTTGCCCATAGCTGACCGGCTCAAACCAAGAAGGCTGGAATTCAAACTCATGACCTTGTGATTACAAGTTTGTATCCTTAGCCAGCTTGGCTGGGGTTACCCCCTTTTGCTTTTGTTTGAATGGGAAGAGGAGGGGGTGTGTGTCTATGCAGGAATACCTGGGGGCAACGGAAGAGGAGGCCAATCTGCATAGTCATTATCACTGATGCAGAAACATCGACAATATAGTGCACCGCGGACTGCAAGAAGCCATAAAGACCTTTCATTCAATTTCTCTACCATCTTATGATATATGGAAAGAAGAAACCGAACATCATCTGCAGCAGCACGGACCATCAGGTCAGACAACGGTCTATACTTCCAAAATTTAGGATCCTGGAAATGGAGTAGAAGCATGAAAATAAGGTTTAAGTTTAAATACATAGATAAATTCGACATATCATCATCCATTATAAGGAGGATATAAAATTCATTGATCAAATGTAAAGCCTAACTGGTTCCTTCATTAAGTTTCTGAAATATGTAAAAATGCAAAATAGGTAATGAAAATCTTCAATTCTTTCTGTGTCTAAAGACGGGTTTGTAAGGATTCTTCTTCTTCCACCTTTCGTTGTGTATAACTAAATAGATTTCAGATTCAGCTTTATCCAAAAAAGTTGCCTCCTTACTCCTCATGTATGCCTTTTAATTTCTTTAATGGTTATGGAGTGTTCCAAAAAAAAAAAAAAATGTAGCCAATTTCAGGCAACATCATCATTCTTATTTGTCATTGCTTTAATTAAAAATAACATACGGATTTCATCCCCTCTTCACATTGTAACAACTTTACAGAACTCACAAGTAAGTTCATGCATAAGAAGATTTAAGATCCCAAAGAATCAAATAAAAAATATTGAACATGTCTAAGGCAGGGATTAGTGGATAGCATTTTATTTATATCTTCAAGTGGTTTAGACGTAGAAAGCCACCATTGATATTACAACAAAAATTTCAGACCAACCTGCCTCATAAGAACTCGCACTTCTTCTTTCTCATCATAAGAAAATCCTGCACAGAAATATTTGAAGTGAAAATCCAAGTAAAAAGGGGAAACATTACGAGAAATTCGAGTTTTAATTCATTCAGGTATTAAAGTGTCAATGCAGCAGAAAGCAAAAGTGAACACAGTGAACCACAAGAAGGCTTCAGCAAAGACAAAAGTTTATCGAAAGGACTCTGCACAATAAAAGCAAATAGATTTGTTTTATCTCCTTTTTAACCTAGCTCCCATACTAGCCAGATAAACATATGTTGAGAAAATGCAACAACCATTACATATCTATCCAAGAATTGAACACCTGATCTTGTAAATATCATTCATAAAAACAATGCCATAGTGCTAAGCTACGAAACACATAATTCAAAGACTATCTACCACAATAACATGGGTCAGCAAGGAGACCAACAAATGATATGTAGTCATCTAGAACCCTTGGATGTCCTTCCTGCTCCTTGATCAACCCATATGCAATCTGTTTAAAAAAAAAACTGTGAACAAATATAGCATACACCACTAATAAACTAGCTCTATTGGAAACAAGTTAGTAACTTTAAGCTCAGGAACGAGGATAGTTCACATCCAACATACGGCCAAAATGTTCACCAGATGTTCATAGAGGATTACAATACTAGTACTAAAAACACTGAAAAATACTAGCAAAGCCCCTAAAACATCTCAATTTCCCAGATGATGACATGACATGCCTACATCCACAAGATTTTGGAGGTAAAAATACTTGCCTGTGTATCTACAACATTTTGCAACTTGATACCAAATTGGAAATACAATGCCTGCAAAGTACAAATCACCAAGAACACTAAACATGATATATTCATTCAAAATATAAGTAGTTTCCAAAAGAGAATAAAAGAGACCTCACTATCTCGTTTACAATCATGAATAACTTTAGTGACGTAACTAGACTCCATTGCAGGCTTACAGGCTTTGATCAAAGCCTCTCCCCCCTCAATGGCATCAACCAAATATATTGCGTCTGGAAAGGCGATCTGTCAAAAAAGAGCAGAATCAAAACCCTATTTTCATTTCATCATAATATTTCAAGCAATAAACCTGTAGACAACATATGAAGTAGATAATTAAGCATGAAAGTAATTATTCACGTCTCCAAATTATATGACAGATTGAGGTTACCTGCATAATACAAAGAGTCCCATGGCGGCAAAGATCAACACCCTCACAATCAAAACCAACTACAAGCTGGTTCTCAGGAGAAGGCTCCAAGAATTCAACAGGTAGTTGGCCTGGTTGAGTCACGATATGTACAGGAACTGAAGGAAACAGACTTTCATCCTCTCGAACCTCACCACCTAGGAGGAAAATAAAATCAATGTACCTCAAATTCACATTTCACTTCAAGTATCCCTCTTTTTTGTTTCCTTTACTCACAAAAAATACAACCAAGATTATCAGACAAAAAGAACATTGCAGATTTTCCCATCACAACTTCAATATATGGTCCACAAAATTCTAATGGCCGTCAAGAAATCACACACACAACTCCACTGCAAAGTAATTATTCAAAAATATGACTGTATGATTGATGCAGCTAGGAAAGTGATCATCGTTGTTAACGTATAAATAAATGCACAAAAACAGTAAGTCCAGAGCTCTAATTAAGTACTGGAAACTAAACTTCCCCACAAAGAGTTTCAAGTTCAATAAAGTGAGATAGATTATACAAATGATTTAGAAAAAATTCACATTTCACTTCCACAAATCCCTGTTTATCCATTCCTCACAAAAATCACTACCAAAAACAACAGACAAAAATCAATTCGCAGAATTCCCCATATGGTTCAAGGCCGCCAGGAAAACGCAAACGCAACTTCGCTGCAGATAAATTATTCATAACCATGAAGAACTACCATTAAAGCAGTAATGTCAGAATTGAAAATCTAAACAAAAGTGAACGATTAACCAATGAAAAATTAGCTTCCATAGACACAGTTTCAAGTTCAATCAAATGAGAGTGACAAGAATTTTAACATAACAGCAATGAATAATGAAAAAAGGAAATGAAATTACCTGGGTCAGGAGCAAGAGGAATGTGGGTTTGGGTAGAAGACGCCATGCGAGCGATCGGAGAATCCCAGGCAGATCGGAATTTCCCTCTTTTTATTTCTTTCCTATTTTATTTATTTTCTAAACTAATGTACAAATACTCGCATGTTATACCATGAAACATAGTCCACATTAAAACTGAATCAAATAAGATTTTTCTTTTCAATTTAAGTTTATTTCTTTTTCTTTGTATACCAATAAAATTAATATAGAAATATTTTTTCAACGATGCTGGTATTTATATCTATATTTTAATTTTAATGTTTTAAATTAATATCAATTATATTAAGTCAATATATTAACTAGGACTATGTGGACATGTGGTCTAATGGTACCCGGGTTGGACTTCTATTTGGAAGATTATGAGTTTGAGCCTTAGTGGAGGCGTTATTGGTTCTTTGTGTTTCAGTAGGTTGAGAAAGTATATGAACATATACTACAATGTAATAGAGCCAGTAACTTTAAAAAAAAAAAATCAATATATTAGATTTATTTTTAATAAAGTACTAATTCATTTTTAAATTACTGTATGTTTATTTTTATCATACAAGTTCAAATACATCATTATACTGAAATATTAAAAAGATCTTAATGAAATATTTTTAATAATATATTTTGTAATACCGATTTTATTTATAAAAATAATACGGAGTAATAAATAGTATATGTATGATATACAAATTAATGACAACTTAATAAACTTACAATACAATATTATAATAATAAATTATGATCTATGATGCAAGGTGAACTATGATCCATGATATAATTTGTCATACCTACTTGTCTACTTATTTATAGATTATAGATTTAAGAGTATGAATAACCATAAATAACTAGGGTTGTGCATTGGATGGATACAGACGGATCGGATATCCCATCCGTCCATCCGATCGGATTTCGGACTACGTTTTGCTCACCCAACCCTTCATTTTTTAAGCTTAATCATTTGGATATGAAATTTTAGATTTCGAATGTTACGGTTCAAATATCGAATTTTATTCGGATATGATTAAAATAATATTACAATACTTTTTTAACAAAAAGTCAATAAGAAGTTAAAAACTATAACAACATTCTACTTTACAAATTACAAAGTAAAATCAATACTGTTTTAGACTTTTAACAAAGTAGCAAACAGCCAAACACTTAACAAACACTAATTATACAGAGCTAAGTAACAAAAACATATATTAATTTTACAACAAAAATCTAAGATTAACTTCAACAAAATACAACAAAAATCTAAGTTTAACTTGAACAAAATACTAAGTTAGACTTAAGTTTCAAAAGTTCTAATTTCAAAATATTTAGCACTCAGAACTTCAGAAGTTAGCTATCAGCAGTCAACAGCAAGTCAGGCAGTCAGCACTTCTACACTTTACAACTTACACTACTCTTCTTCCTGTTAATATCAAAACTTGAAACAATATTAGGCAACATATTAAGTAAACAGCTAAGTAACAAAACTAACAACTAAGAATACTATGTTGTAGGGGCATTAGGCTAATAGGCTCAGATTGAAATTTTCCATATCAAGTAAGGATGGGGGCAAAATGCTCATAATATGTTATAATAACACATTAGCAACAAACCAACATCATAAAAAGTTTTCAAAAGCTTCATTAAGCTTTCAACAGAACACCAATCCAGGAAACAAGGTGGAGTACCCAAGTCAATAGTAAAAGAGGGATCATTTTGCTCATATGCATCAAGCACTCTTTGATATTTAATGGTAGTGCTGAGCATAATGTAGGTGCTATTCCACTTTGTAGGGACATCTAGTTGTAAAGCTGATTTAGCCCCCCCCCCCCAAATGAGTTCAGCAAGCTCTCTGCCTAGCAGGTGAGTTCCTAACCCATCTCACTACACCCCTCACCCTTTTCACTAACTCATTTGCAAACCTCAACCCATCTTTAACCACTAAGTTTAGGATATGGGCTATGCACCTCATGTGCATGTACTGCACCCTAACATGAGAAGAACCCCAAAATAACAGCTTGCTCTTAAAAACAACTCAAAGTTGTATCATTAGAAGAAACATTGTCCAATGTAATAGTGAATACATTTTTAATCGCCCACTCCAATAGACACCTCTTTAAGGCTTTTGCATCAAGCACCCTTCCACTTGTACTAAATGCACTTTCAGAGGCAATTGTGGATATAGGAACTGCAAGTACATATCTAGCCATTTTGGAGAGAATGTAAAATCTCTCACTCTGACACTTCCACCACTTTAAAACATCAAAATCAACAGATTTATCATCCTCCACAAGATTTTCACTCAAGTAAACTTGCAGCTCTATCTGCTTATTGCTTCCACCACCAGTAGTCTCCAATCTCTTTTTTTTTTTTTTTTTTTTTTCAGTTGACTCTTCAACATTGACCAAGGTCTACCAACGCAACTAGTAGCTTCAGTCTGGACAGATTCAGTAGAGGATTCACTCTGGGCAAAATTGACAGAATATGTAGCTGCATAGTCATTAAACAATGCAGCCATTGCATATTGGATCTTGGAAAAACAATCTTTGCCTTTCACTTCTCCATACAGCTGGACAAACTAATGAGGCATGTATTCCTCCTTATCTCTGGGGTCCATAATATTAGCAAAAAAAAAAAAATGACAAAGTTCATTTTTCTAAATCCCCCCAATATTTATCAAACTTGGTTTTCATTTGTGTCCCCATTGCCTATTAAGTATTAAATACATAAAGCATATAAAAAATTATAAGTTAAACACAATCAAGCAATGCAAATATGCAATTAACCAATTACAAAACAATTACAAGGTTTTACCCTTTTAGTCCCAGCATCATTTTTAAGCATATCTTCCAGCAAGCAACTGAGATTAGAGATCTCAAAGAAGAATGTGTTAGAAGTGACATAGAGAGAACCATATATTATCACTGTCATCTCATAAAAAGTTTTCAAAAGCTTCATTAAGCTTTCAACAGAACACCAATCCAGGAAACAAGGTGGAGTACCCAAGTCAATAGTAAAAGAGGGACCATTTTGCTCATATGCATCAAGCACTCTTTGATATTTAATGGTAGTGTTGAGCATAATGTAGGTGTTATTCCACTTTGTAGGGACATCATGTTGTAAAGTTGATTTAGCTCCCCCCCCCCCCCCCCCCCCATATGAGTTCAGCAAGCTCTCTGCCTAGCAGGTGAGTTCCTAACCCATCTCACTACATCCCTCACCCTTTTCACTAACTCATTTGCAAACCTCAACCCATCTTTAACCACTAAGTTTAGGATATGGGCTATGCACCTCATGTGCATGTACTGCACCCTAACAGGAGAAGAACCCCAAAATAACAGCTTGCTCTTAAAAAAACTCAAAGTTGTATCATTAGAAGAAACATTGTCCACTGTAATAGTGAATACATTTTTAATCCCCCACTCCAATAGACAACTCTTTAAGGCTTTTGCAATATACTCCCCCCTATGAGAAGAAACAGGGACAAAGGAAATTATTTTTTTCTGAAGCTTCCACTGGTCATCAATAAAATGTGCAGTAATGCACATATAATTAATTCTCTGGACAGAAGTCCATGTATCAGTGGTTAAACTGACCCTTTGGGTGCCTACCCTAAACAACTTCTTAAGATTTAGCCTCTCATCTAGGAAAATTTGGTAGATGTCCCTAGAAATTGTCCACCTAGAAGGGATTGAAACCTAGGACAAGCTACAAGAATAAACCTTTTGAACCCCTGACCCTCAACAAACCTAAAAGACAGTTCATCTATGATTAACATCTCACATGAGGCCCTCCTAATGACATCTTTATTAAAGACCCATGTCCCCAAAACCCCTCACAGGAGCCTTTGTTCCAGAAGTTGAAACAGTATTGAAAGTGAGTAGGGACTATGTGACAACCAAAAAAAGAAAAATAATAATAATAATAATAATAGTAATAATAATAATAATAATAATAATAATAATAATAATAATTTTCTAAATTCTATTTTATAAAATTCCAAAATAGCTATTTTCACTATTCCAACAAATTTTATTTTGAAAACGGTGTTTGAATTAAATATTTTAAATTGAGTTTTTTAAATAAATTCGACACCAAGATTTATACTATTTCGAAAATCCTAAATTTCGGGTACATTTATCAAGTTTTGACCCAAAAAGTCAATCTGAGTAAAACTGGAAAGGAACCTGTGAAACCTAAACCCATTTCATTTGCATCTCCATTTCTTTGAGCTCTGTAGAAGAAAGAAGAAGACATAGTAAGGTTTCTAGCCTTCAATCTCATCCATTCATTCCGTTTTCTTTCTAGTTTTCCATCTATTGTCTCCAATCTCTGGGAATCTCTCCTTAAGATTTGTTTGTATTGTTTGTTGAGGAGTTTAGGTGGTGAAGGAGGTGCTAGCTAAGTAGAGAGGAAAGGGGGATCTACACAAGAAAAAGAAGAAGAAGAAGCTAAGGTATAAACCATGGACTCCCAAACTATATTTTGGACTCTGTTAAATGCTAGAATGTTATTTAGATGTGTAGAAATATTAGATAAATGTTGTTGTTGAGCTATTTGTGAGTTATTGTTGATCTATGATTGATTTATTGAGGTTTGGAAGTGTTGGATTGCATATGTTTTGTCTAACAGGTGAAGAAGAAATGGGTCTTGTGCACACAATGGTGCACCAATAACCCAACGGACCTAACCAACAGATCTAGGCATGATCCGTTAGCCAGGTCCGTTGAGTAGCGGACTAAGGCAATGGATTTTGGCTAGATCTGTTGCCCTGCACCGCTGCTTGGTGGGGCTTCCCAAGCCCCGTCACCAAGCTCTGTCAGGCCAAAGTTGGTTCTGGCCGGGCCCTCTGTGGCTCAGCTACGTGTCTTTCAGATCGGGACTCGTGGGCCCTTGGCTCGAACACTTGGGCTCGTTACGACGCATTAATAGAAGTTAGTTTCGTTGAATTTGGAGTTAAGAAACATGTTTTACAGTTAGAAATGTGAGAATTGAATTCTTTGTTGTTGTTATTGTCTGTGAAGTATATCAGCAATTGAATTGAAGCAACTGAGTATTACTATTTGATTTGAGAAGCATGTCTAAGTACTTGATAGTATTTGTTGAGAAGCTTTACTAAGAATTTGAGAATTTGAGCATGATCAGTGCATGATTTTCCTGTTATACAGTGAGTGAATTGCTAGCATTTGAGTATGTTTTGATTTGAGAAGCATGTCTAAATACTTGTTAGTATTTAATGAAAAGATGTGTTAGTGTTGAGATTTTAGCATGAAGCAAGTGCATGATTTTCCTTGTTTCATAGTGATTGAAATGCAAAGTATGTTTTATAGTGAAGAACATGTTAGTAGATTTCATTGTTTAAAGTGCATTATTGGCTCTAAGTAAGCCTAAGATCTATTTCAAAAACCTATATTATTTTGGAAAAATCATTATCTAGTTGCATTGAGAAGATTGCATGATATTTGATTTTCAAAATGTGAGAAAGAGAAGTTGTTGATAATTATATGCATGAGTTGCATAAGTTAAAGAAGTTGCATGAGATATATCTATATGCTATTTATTGTGAAAAAAATAGTATTTTGGAGGGACTATGTCCTTTCGGAAGAAAAGAGAAAGAAAGAAAGTTTGAGAAAGGAAAGAAACGGTCATTGCGAACCGACAGATTATATGAAGTAACGAGGTCGATATTTCCGAGTTACTAGGTTGGATACTACCCGCCGGTCTTGGAATCCTAGATAGGGGGTGTGCACACTGACAAGTACGATACCTGATTCCACAGAGTTTGAGATAAGAACCAAGAGAGTGGTTCTGTGGGCGAGATGAGTATTAGGTCGGCTAGATGTCGAGCCCGGATAGGTTCGTTCACATATTGGTGAAGTTCCTACCTCGCCCATGAGTAAAGAAAGAAAGAAAGAAAGAAAGCGAGTCAAGAGACTCAAGAGAAAGAAGAGAAAAGCGAGTCAATGTGACTCAACAGAAACCTCCACATAAAAAGTGTTCCTTTTTACATAAGAGCGAGAGTGTATATATATCTATACTTATAGCATCATGATATGCATTGTTATATGTCTTGCATGACTCTCATTTAGAGTATGATGAGAAGTATAGTACTTTGTTGATGTTTATGAGTTGGCATGATATCATGAGATTGCTTGTTAAGTTTAAGTACCTCTTTATCTTTCAGTTTGAGCATGTGATTTGAATTATATGTTTAAAGCATGAGAATTATGTTTAAGTTGAGTAATTGAGAAAGCATGATTATTTGATGTATAGGTTGCAAGCATATAGAGTTGTTTATGAGCATGATTTGAGTTTGTTGTTTAAGTGTTGAAAGTATTTGAGATTAAGTGTGTTTGCCAAATGATTTTCAAATCTATATCTATAGTACTTTACAGGGTTGAGTGGCTTTATACTTAGCATATATTCATGCTAACGAGTTTATTTTCTACTTGCTTTTATAACCCCTTTCAGGTGGGCCCAGTGTTTGAGCGTGCACGAGATAGTATAGTGCGTAGATATGATTTGTTAGATTCTAGTTTAGATTCTGTTTGGATGTTAATGTCTAGATACTGATGTTTGATCTTTTGATGGTGCTAGGACACCAGGGTTTGTTCCCCAAGTACTTTTGTAGTTTTTGATGAGCTTGACTCTAGACAGTTACCTTTCTTTAACCTGTGCAGACATCGTGTGTGGTGACTGTGGCGGTGACACACGTTTGATGATTTAAGTTATCTAATCTCGTTTAATTGTCTTGTGAAGTTTAGTATTTGGGATTTAGTTTTAGAAAAGTGGGGTGTTACAGAATGCCTTGTATTTTTTGAATGAGGACTTTTAAGGCAGCCCAACATATGATTTCTCAGAGATAATGTGTCATGTTTTTTAGGCTCACATGCAAATAGCTTTGCACAGTAAAGGCACTTGCCTTTAATGACTTTCCCCTCATAATCTAGGATCTTTTCAAAGTGATCCCAGACTTTTGAACTAGACTCAACCTCCTTCCTCTCTTTTACATGAATAGCAGGAGTCACCTGAGGCTGCTGAGCAGGTTTCTCAGTGCCTTGGGCTTGTCCTCCATGTCCCTCTTGAGTTGAGGGTTGAGGTCCAGAATAAGGTAAATTGATGCTCTCCATCTAAAATGATGGGCATCAGTTAAGGGTCCAACAATCCAAGTAGGCAACAATCACATAAACATACAAAGAAATCAAGATTCAAACACTTGTTTGTGTCATCATTTATCAAGATTTCACAATTTCACAATCACATATTTACAGTACAAACAGTTAAGGGTCATACATCCATAAACATATCACGTATTGACTTTACAAAGAAATCCAAATTCAGGAACTTTATCCAGTTCATCATTATCTGGATTTCAGTTAAGGGCTTCCACCAATAAATGGAAATTTTAAGTTTCAACCTTGATAATTTCACATTCAAGCCTTAATTGTAGAAGGGACAATAGATCAAAATCATCACATAATATCATAAAATGATCATAGTTTCACACTACTTCGACCATAATATTGCACAATATATTCCAAATATCAAACTGCTTCCACAATAATATATCACAATATATCATAACTGATTAACTAACAGAACATATTCATAATATATCAGAATATATCATAACTGACAGAAACATATTCATAATATATCACAATATATCACATTACACATAATAAATCACAAATATAAAACTAGCGTTTGCGATACATATGAACAAATCACAATATATCAGAAAATATCCATAATATATCACAATATTTCACAATACATTTAATAAAACAGAAATATAAACTAGGGTTTGCGATTTACTTAGTTTCCCCCAAATATTTCCCGGAGAACAAGGACCTCTAATAAGTAATCACCACAAGAATGGGCTTCCACCACTCTAAGTCACCAACGGCCACCGAAGAATCGGAGATGACTTTCTCGACAAAAGTCTCACCGTCTTAGAGAGTGAGACAATAACAGAGAAGTCAGAGAACACAGAACATAGAGAAGGGCTTCCACCACTATAAGTCTCCAACGGCCACCAGAGAATCAGAGACGAGTAGACAACTTTCTCGGACACAAGTCCTACCGTCTCAGAGAGTGGGACAAGATCACAAGAACTGTTAGGAATATATTGTATAAGTTTTGATGAGCCAAATGTATTTTGTAGACCCCAATTTTATTTTATTTGAGTCAGTTTTGGTTCACAAAGTATAGTGCACCACTGCCATGAAGCCTACATGAAGTCTACGTGAAAGCAGTTTTGAAGGAAGAATAAATGAAAGCGGGATCATAGCTTAACAAATTTATGAAGCATCAAGTCACCAAAGGTTGAGATGGACGAGATGGTAGAAGACTTGTTGAAGCATGCCTAATGCGAGATGATCCATAGTTTGATTCTCATTGAGAGCAATTTTGGTGTAAAGATGAAATGCTATCGTGAAGAAGCAATATCAGGAGATGATGTCACAAGAAGGTAATACTATCATGAAAGAACAATTTTTATCGTGATAGTTGAGAATTATCGGATGATGACATCACGACTATCGGGTAATGACATCACAATGTGATAAAGCTAGTGGAGAACACGTGGAGGAGACAAGACAAAAGAATTTAAGTCTTGGATTTTATTAATTGGATATCTAGCTGAGATGGAAGAAGCCTTGCTAAGCAAAGCAAATGGTCCATAATTCAATTCCCACTCGAAGCAATTTTATGAAAACATGATATTGGTCCATGATATACAATGGAACGTGATATCTGGTCCATGATACAAGGTGGAACATGATAGCTAGCTCATGATATGAAATGGAACATGATATATATATGGTCCATGATACAAGGTGGAACATGATATATATAGTCCATGATACACTATTGGGACATGACATCATCAAAAAGAGCTATGACATCATGATAGAATTAGACAGAAACATTATTTTGAAGCTCTGTTTCTGCAGAAGAAGTCGAAGGAGAAGAAGAAGCTGATATACGAAGGAAATCTTTTTAATACTCAAGCAAGAATCAGCAGATAAATTATTTGATCAACTTGGCACATCAGATCAATAATTCAACAAAAGTCATGCCAGAGAAAATTCAAAATTGGAGGCTACCCATTCCACAGAAAAGCTTTGTCAGATTAAAGGAGAGCAACGACGAGATTTCTCAAAATCTTCTGACAGACGGCGAAATGATTTTTGCAGACCAAGTTGGCAAAATTATTTGATCAACTACAATTCAAAATGGACGATCGAGATCGAAAGTTGATCAACGGGCAAATAGCTTTCATCTGCTATAAATTGCCCAAGCAGACTTGAAGACAAGCACGAATCTAACAGAGATTCAGAAAACACTTGAACAACAAAGAAAATTATCCAATCAATCATCAAGTGGTATATTGAGCTATATAAGATAGAATCCAAGTCTGAGAGAAGAAATCTTTGTATTTCATTGTAAATCTTCTACTGAGTGTAGAAAAGGGGTAGAGTAACTAGGGAGAGTGAAAAACCCAGTTGGAGTGTAGCTTTGTGCGTAGCACTCGGTTGTAACGGGCAGAGTAACAAGGGGAGCTTGTGAAAACCCGATGAGAGCGTAGCTTTGTGCGTAGTTCTCGTGGTGTAGGAGTACAGCTTGGTGCGAAGTACTCGGGAAGGCGGAGTAACAAGAGGAGCTTGCGAAAAACCTTGGTGGAGTGTAGCTTTGTGCGAAGCACTCGGAGAAGTGTCGTTGGGCACTTATTCACTATTGTATCTGGGTGATCGAAGAATAGTGAATTTCCTCCTTGAAGTGAAAGGAGAAGAGTGGACTAGGAGGATTACACCACCTCTGAACCACTATAAATCTCTCTCTCTATTTACTTACTGCTCATATATATTCCTTGCATGCCTATATTATTTGTGAACTAACCCGTTACGGTTTATTGCGTATCTTTATCTGTCTGGGTTTGATAGTTCCCTCGTTTGCATGCAAGTGAAATTTTATATACATCATCCTACATCTATATTAAGTGTTTCTAACGTGATGCATGTATGAAAACTCTCTTGAGCACGACACAATTTAAAGCATAACACTTTGCCGTTACATTTCCGCTGTGCACACTCTAAATTGTTATACTTGTTTATGCTTGTTACTTAGAGTTGAAGTTACAAAGTGTTGTTTGCAGAAGAAGTTTGAAAAAGTTAGAGAAGTCTATTCACCCCCCCTCTAGACTTCTCGCCACCCTTTCGGGACCAACAAGAACAAAGAAGTCAAAGAACACAGAACAGGAAGAACCGGACAATCGGACTATCGGAGAAGAAGAGAGAACAGAGGATTACTGGATTAGAGTCTAGAGAACAGACTCACAGGGAGGACCGGAACAAATGAATGAGGGGATTGAGGGCTGAGGAGTAGAAAGAAGAACGATGAGGAACGATGAATGACTGAGCAAATGAAGTTAGGGGCTTAGAGCTGCAAACACTAACATATATACTAGGCTTAAACGACGTCGTACCCTAGGTAACCTAACCCTAACCCCAAAAAATATCAGATATTCGGGCGGGTCGGATATGAAAATATCCTACCCTACCCAACATCCCTTATCTGGCATCGTTTCATGCCACGGATCGGATAATGAAGTTTGGATGCAGATCGGGGTGGGTGGCCTTGTTTCGGAGTTCGGATCGGTCGGGTTATTCAGATAGGGTCGGGTTTGCACATCCCTACGGATAACTTTATCAAATAAAATTGGGAAAAGATTCAAATATGTCCCTAAACTTTACTAGAAAAGTCAACTAGACCCCTAAACTTTTTAAAGGTGTAATTAAATGCATTAACATGTTATTTTGGTGCATTGAAACCCAAAAACCGATTAGTGAATTGTAATAATATGTCACTAGGATTCCAGTTATCCTCTGGCCAACTCCGACACTATTTTCTGTAATAAAACAATCGATGACCGGTCGTTGGTTGCCTTCGAATTAATAGAGAAGGTTGGTTGCCTTCTCTGTTGATTCGAAGACGGCCAACGACTATTTGCCAGTCGTCGGTTGTGTTGTTGCCAGAAATAGTGTTAGAGTTGCCTAGAGGATCGCCAAAGGTTGATGTAACCCTAGTGATCTATTATTACAAGTCGCTAACCGGTTTTTGGACTTCAATGCACCAAAATAACATGTTAATGAGTTTAATTACACCCTTACAAATTGTAGAGGTCTAATTTGACTTTTTTGATAAAGTTTAGGGGTCTATTTGACCATTTTTCGTTTAAAATTAAATCCCAAAGTAATATTACATCCCTACAATCTAAAATAAACATACTGCATAATATTGTTTTGATTGATTTCCTTTAGCGTGTAACGCTCCCTGGTGAAATGGATTGGTTGAACAGTTTGTATAATGTAAAGAGCAAAACATGAAAAGAAAGAGACAATGTAATGGCCCGCAACAATTTTTATTCCAACCTCAACTCAAATACAAATGATTTAGTATATATAATATATCTTTATAACGAAAGGTATTAAAGGCAATCATAAATCTTCAATGGTTACATAATCTATTCACAATGTCCACAATTAGTACTATATATATATATATATATATATATATATATATATATATATATATATATATATACATACCGCCCAAACTTTTTTACTCAATTACTTAAATATTTTAATTATTGGTCAAATAATTAATAAATCGTATTTGGTAACCAAATAATATTGCATATTTATGGTATTGCCTATGTGAATACTATGCAATACCATAATTATGAAATATCTTAATTAAGACAGAGTATATATATATAGAATCAGTATCCGTTTATTATTTTTTCAATTATATATTTAATTAATTTTAATTATAATTATAAAAATATTTACATAATATTAATTTTATATATGGTCAATTTTTTTATGGCTATAAAATGATAGGATTTGCCTCCCCTGTACTACTCGATCAGAGGTTCAAGAATCAGATTCTCTCTCTAAGGCTTTTTCAAAAATGGTGGATTGCCGTCATCGTTCCCGGTCCCAGCACAAGAGAGTGTCCCGGTCCTGGTCGGCATTAACATTTCCTTTCGTATGTATTCTCTCTCGGTTTTCTTTTCAAATTATGAGTTTTCCACGTGTATGTGTATGTTTATCAACACGTCTTCCGTGTGCAGGTATTTCAAAAACGAATAGAAATTGTGTCAGGAACTATTTTCATATATTGGTTATTTGAATTCGTCCACACTCCACATAGATAATTTGTTTTGTTTTTTTTTTTTTTTTTTTTTGGATTTTCCAATAGGGAAAATGACACTTTTTACTTCTGAGTTATATACTTATAGCACTTTTTCCCCCTCAATTATTTAGGTAAGCACATTAGTCCCCTCAATTATTCTAAAAGTGGTGTTTTTTCCCCCTGATATATTAAATTGACATTTATACCCTTAAAGTAAACATTTTATTTATTTTACTTCTCCAACAAATTATTGCGTATATGTAGGGATGACCACGGTTTTGTTTGAATTGAACCGGATACTAAAGCAATCGAATTAATAGTTTCCAATTATGATTCAGATCTAGAACCCAATATTTAAATGTCAATTTATTAAAATTATGTATCAAAAAAATTGAATCTTGAACCGTGAACCTGCGGTTCCAGATCTGATTCTCAATTTTGAACCGTCTTTATTTTAAAATTTTATTTTTTATTTTAAAATAGTATAAATTCAACAATAAATTTATTTTATTTTTTCAGTTCGGAATATAAACCGTCCGTTCCGGTTCATGATTTTAATAAACTCTAAATATCGGATTTCGATTCTAAATTGTAATTGGAATATTTCGGTTTGGTTGCTATAGTGTTTGTTTGGTTTGAACCAAATTATGGTCATAATTTGTTGAAAAAAAAATAAATAAAATATTTATTTCAAGGGTAAATATGTCCATTTAATATTTCAGGGGGGAAAACAGCCACTTCAATAATTCAGGGGGAGGGGGGGGAAATGCTATAAGTATATAACTCAGGGGGAAAAAGTGTCATTTTCCCTTTCCAATATTTAAATAAGAAAAGTGGTTTGTAATAAAAAATGTTGATATATTCTTTCTTTTTTTTTTTTTTTTTTTTTTTTTCTTTTTTTTTTTTTCTTTTTTTTTTTGTGTGGAGAAGATACGGATCTAGAAAGATTGATCGGGAAGCAATAGAGTTCGTTGCTCATCAAGTGGATAAAGTTTGAGGAGGGACGGATTCTGTGTATATGTAGAGAGATATAGAGGGAAGTATGATAAGAATACAGTAAAACCAAAATGAAATTCAAAGCATTTTTAGTTGTCAATATATCAAAGTGTTGAACTTTGTTTCGATTCAATCTCTTCGTCTTAAAGTGTGCATTTTCTGTAATAAGAGAGTAGTTTGTCTCTCCCTTCAAGAGGTTTTTCTTGGCATTAAAACTTTTTTTGGGGCCAAAAAAATTATGAAGTACTGTAGCTTAGTTTGAATAGAGTATTATTTTGATTTTATTCTTTAGCTGACTTCCCTTGATTCAAATCACTTTTCTAATGTGAAATAATGTTATTGACTTACCATGTTTGCTTCGATATGCTAAGTCATTTA